CCAGCGAATGCCCCCGCCCCACCCCACTGCCGAAGCGGAACATGCAAACTTAACCGCTGCACCACTGGGCCACCCCAGTGATCATGTCTCTGAACCCCACTACTTTGCAGGACTAACTGCTCCCATGTATGTTTCTATGGCATTTTGTACACATCTCTATTATAGCATGTATTTTAATAAGACCTTGAGGACCATACTTCTTTTAAATGCTGGCAATTATTATATGATTAATTCACTCAAAGTTTTATTGACTAAGTGAGCAAATTAATATGATAATTGTAGGCATTTAATATATCATGACTTAAGAAGACAGAACCAGGGCAACTGAGGTATTTTATTCAATAAAATTTCCTGCTTTCCAAAGATGACAGTAAAAAGTCACATTCATTGTGTCTCTGTGGCAGAACATACAAAAGGAAACTGTATAAAACTCTAAAATCCTTTATTATTAGAAACTATAGTTGTGTATGTTTCAGATGGAGTCAATGATGTTTATGCTGTTTGGTATATTCCGATAAATTAGAAACAGTTTTGCTTGTTTCTTAATTCCTTAGATACCAAGGAAAGCAGACATTCAAATAACCTTTGTCTCTTTCCTGTTAAGCAACAAATGAAGCAAATAATTGGGAGGCTAGTAGCTGTCTGAGGAGATTAAGCAATTGCTTAACTGAGCCTAAAAAGTCTAACTTAAAGACATTAAGATTTCAGGAAAACTTTTTTCCATACATTAATTTTTTAACTTCATATGACATATGTGTCCTCTTTGTGAATTTCTTTAAGCAGTGTTTCCAGAATTCCAGTGCCTTTTTCTAGATACTCTGCAGCAACTTTTAAGAAAAGTGTATAAGCCATTTCTCAAATTCTGAGACAATTTTCCTCATCATATTTAAATAGAGACCACATAATTTAACCAAAAGAGTCAGCTAATTTTACCAGAAAGCTAGAGGAATGCTGAGTTCAGCTTACCAGCCCCATCCATCAGCGATTTTACAATCTTACTTAATTTAACAAAAAGTAGTAAGATTTCTAATAAGACCTCTAAGTTTTGGATTAAAAAGCAAGTAGGGTTCTTTAGAACTGAATTCGCCATTAGTCTTAAAGGACCAAATTTGTCTTTCAGAATTCATCTAACACAGAAATGTATTGCATAATTAAGGCCATGTTTGATATTGAAATGGGAGCTATTTTGCCCTAGATAACCCAGATATTTTATAAATAGAAGAAATTAGTTAGATATATAGACTCAAAATAAAAACATATGACTTTAAAAAACATAATGACTTTAAAATCATAAAATATGTAACATAAATTATTGATCTATTGAAGAAAACTTGTTCTCATAGTCAAAGACATAAATACTAATAATTAGGGAAGAAAATCCGTTTGTTAAACTTATATTGCTTAGGTTACATTCCTAACATTGTTTATTTATCATTCAAGTTGTATTGTTTACATTCAAAAGCTCACTGAGTCGAGATTCTGAGACAGCTTGGGAGATGAAAAAGGCTATTTGCCTGGAATATAACGTCATCATTACAATGATCATCAGATCAGAATTCAAGAGTGATTTTTAAAAATACTGGTATCTGATTGTGTCTTAAAAATAATGTTGACACCTAAATGTACATACCTGAGGAAGAAGGAATCTAAATTTTCTAAGAAAAAATTGAAAAATAGCCTTATTTTATATTAATACGTTTGTTTCCTATTATTAACAGGGAGACATTCTTAAAGGGCGATAGCAATTTCACTGCATCAAGAGCGCTTTTGCCCTGTCATCCTAAACCATGGTGTATAAGGGAGATCTTCAAAAGAAATGCTGTCGCAGAGGCCGTTTTGCATGTGAAGATTTTTCTTGTAACGGTTAAGTGTAGAGAAGATGATGGTGGATACAGAGAAGTGTGCATACATGCCCCTTCTGTTCTTACACTGTATCTGCAGGCACTGCCTTCCTGTTCACACTGGCAGAACCGCACAGGCCATTAATCTTTATTGAGACATCCCCAAAAGATATATCAAAATTTCTGTCCTGTGGCAACACACAGTATCTGAGTGAAATTATGAGAATTATAAAAAACATCCTAGGAAAAAATAACACTTATTTCTAAATATAAAGGAAAATCCTAAGAACAAAGAAGCCCAGTAAAGAACGCCATGGCAAGTAAAGAGTTAACTTCAAAAATTGTCTAAGAGAAAGGGCTTGTCTTCTGGACCACGCTTGAGAACACCAGAAATAGGCTTTCCTCTAGTGGACAGCATGAATCTCACAAACTTGCGAACAACAGTATTAGCTGCAGACTCACTGATCCGATCAACAAGGCTTTAAACTAAGACTCAGAGTGGAAGAGAAAAATGCGAATCAGTGAAATGGATATTATGGAGGATAATAGGTTTGAAGCAAAAGTAAGCCATAGTGAAAAAAAGTCTAGGAATTATTTTGTGAAACTCATGGCTTGGAATAATAGTGAAGCCTAGGATACACAGTGTACTAAATAAAGCTAAAATAAAAATAGTAGACATTTTAAGTTCTTAACGTGCCCTCTTTTGAAACACAATCCTGGCAGAGGAGTGTAAGGACTGCCACAGCTGTTTGTGCCAGGAGTGCCCTGCACGAGCGAACATGACCTGTGAGACAAGGAGGGGGCATCTTTCCCTCCACGCTTCACGTGCCCAATAGGGATCACCATCTTCAATTTATAGGGTTGGAACCTCAGCTTAGCGACCTTCAGAAACCTGCTCAGGGTTCCATAGCTAAAAAATTATAAGGTTAGATTGGCTAGAATGGGAAGGCAGATGCGTCTGGACTTCATAATTTTGCAAAACATAGTAAGGGGAGATGGATACACAGATATCTAATTTATTCTAAAGTAGCAGAGTAGGGGGAAATTATCTCACTAATTTGTTGACGAGGAACAACACAGCATCTGGGAACCCGTGTCAACACCTATCAGGGAGTTCTAGACTCATTTTATGATCAAGAAATGTAAAGACAGGAATTTAGAGAAGATGCTCATGTTAGGAAAGGAAAATCAAAAAAGAGACACTGTTGGTGGAAAATAGCATAGGAATCCTAGCAAAAAATATTACAGAAGGTAGTTTATTAATAGTGGGTCCCAGATATGGACAAGAAGGAAGGGCTTTAATCAGTTGGATCCCTCTCAGGGGGAAGACTAATTCTGCTGGAATCTGCTGAGTTCGGGGGAGCCCTCCAATGGTAACCACTTTTTGTTCAATTTGACTTATGGCGAAGGTGACCTGCATACACAATGGAGACACTGGGAACAAAGTTTTTGAGGAACCCTGGAGGAAAGGAGGGGAATGATGAGCGGAGCTGGGTAAACTCCGCAGACTTGAAATAGACAGCCCTTCGGCACACAGGGAGCAATGGGCAGTCACCCAGACAGTTGAAGAAAATACAACAGAGGAAGAAAGTGAGAAACTAAAGATGACAATCTGACTCTACCATCGCAAATAAACTATATCCAGAAAAAAGGAAAAGACAGCTAAAGAAAATAGTTTAATTTTACAGATAGCAATTTGGGATTAGGTTCTTATCTTTTTTTAAAAAAAACACAGATAATAAAAGATGAATGTGAATGACAAAATCAGGTGTAAGGACTTGGAAAATGAGTGTGGGGTGTCTAAAGTCAACAATGCTCTACGATGTTCCAAACATGAAAGGTCTAAAAACTTAGCTGTGTTAACAAAAGCAAAGGAAGGGATAATCCCACCAGCTGAGGGAGAAAGAGCTGCTCCGCTCCCTTTGTTTATGTCTTCTCTATCAAGGAAAACTGTCATCAAATTAGAACAAGCAGAACAAACAATTTTGATATGAATTTGGAATTTACTCAGACTTACGTAGGGACCAAAGTAAATGAGGGAGAATAAGAGAGAAATTTTCTGAGTGATCCCCTGCTGTCTGCTCTAGCAGTGACCTGTGAACACTCAGACAAGGAAGCAGGGACATCAAATGCAGGAAGTATTTGCTAGGAAAAGATTTTTTTAATAGGTTATTAGACCTGTAGGATAAGAACATTCAACTCACAATGGATCTTAATTTGAATGACATATCTTATACAGTCTTTTATTAGAACTCTGTGAACAAGATAGGAAAACACTGGTTTTACGATAGTACAACTGAACAGATTGCGGATGATTGATCAGTTGTTCTTCAAGAAAATTCTGTCCTTTTTACTGTCCAAATTCAAAATGCTATTTTGTGATTTAGTTAAGGAAGTGAAAAGCACACTTGACAAATCTGTGGATAATACAAAGTTGTGAGGGAGTGCTAATAGATTATGTAGTAATCAAATAAATCTTCAAAAATGTTTTGTTTGGCTCAAACAGTCACCACAGAAAACAAACTACCTAACAGGAAACAATGTAAAGACCAACATATAAATTTCAAAAATATCACTTGTATCAACAAAGGATAACTGAGTTTAACAGTAGTTCATCTGAAGAAGACACAGTGTGTTCACATAATCCATGATCTTCAGCCACCTTAGGAAAATAGCGTACTTGATTGCTTCTTCTCGTTTTACTAAAATATTTCTATTCTTCAGATACATTAAATTAACTTTTAAAACATCCTGTGTAAGTTGGAACCCCTTAGAGTAGAAATATGCAAGACTTCTAGCTCCTTAGGACATAAGACAAAGAATTACGCAGTATAGGTAAGTGTGAGCACATCTTAAATAAGTTTCTTTCACAGTAATTATATACCATGCAATTTCTACAGCATATATAGTGATAAAGGATTTCAGAAGGCTCAAAGGATGTCACTTCAATATATCTGCTGTCCTAGTGGAAAATACATAAGTTAATTTCAAAGATTTGTAAATAATTTGGAACAGTTCTGTGTAGAGTAATATTATCTTTGATATAGGAAAGAATATTCTGGAATTCATGTAAATGATTACAAAGTTATACCAACAAATCATAGCAACAAGGTCTGCACAGAGGATCACAAAAAAAAAGACGCCGATTAATTTTCTCACCTGCCTAATACCCAACCGGTATGCAACAATCCGGTCTACTGCCTCGGGATTCATTTGTGTCCACTGCAGACTGTAGGAATAAACTCGGTGTCTGTTCTGCCACACAGGGTTGTAGGTATCGTAATAGAATTCCGGAGCATAGGCCTTTCCTAAAAACAGAAAGAGTACTTAAATTTGAATGATGCCATATTACAGTTAACATATTTATTCTTTTTGGACCTTTTACCACTTTCTACTATGTGTTGCATAAGTAACTCGTGTATTTGAAAAGTCACTTTATAAAAATCTAAAGAATTTTCTTGAGAATTTTGAGAATAGATGCAAGAGGACTTCCTGGTTGACTGGATGAGCAGTGTGAGAGGAAGAGAAGAACCGACGATGACACAAATTTTTTGGCCTAAGCAGTTGGAAGAACGGAGTTTCCATCCACTAACATGAAAGCTATGGGAGGATGAAATGTGGGAGGGGGGGAGACCAGGAAGTTATTTTTGAAGACTTTGAATGATCTAAATGGAGACATCAAGTGGGATGGACTAGTCTAGAACTCAGAAGAGGCCAGGGTTGGAGATAGAATTTTGCTAATCCGAGGCATATAGACCAATTTTAAATTTAAAGCCATGAAACTGATGAGCTCACTAAGGGAGTGTGAGTAGATAGAGAAGAAGACTAAAGCCTGACTCCCGGGGAATCCAAGGTTGAGAGAGATGGGAGGAGACAGGAACCTCCACAAAGGCCTGAGATGAACAATCAGGAGGAAAATCAAGCCTGGAACATCCTAGAAGTCAAAAGAAGTATATCAACAAGTGTATGATCAATCTGTCAAAAAGAAAAATCAGTAAAAATGAATATCTGTGTCTATGTTATCTGTGTCTTTGGTCAATAAATCTGAAATTAACCAAAAAAAACCTTAACAATAACGCAAGAACTTTGGTCAATAACAAAAAAGCTTTTATTTAGATTTTAAGGGCATGTGAAGTGAATATAGCATATACAACATATATAAACCATCTCAGTTTTGTTTTTAATTGCCAAATTGAAAGGTGCACAGACCACTTGGAATTATGGATCCAAGTTCCTGATATTCTGAAATATAGATTTTTTCAGACCTTTCATTTATTTTTCAAAAATAAATAAATATATTTATTTATCGAAATGACAGTATTTAGAGAGAGCCTATTAAACGCCACGTAGCGTACGAGGTAGGCGTTGGGGAGACAGTGAATGAGGAGCTATGCTTCTGTCCTCACAGAAATTGCTTACATTTTCTTTCTCAACTTTTTGAATAGCTTTGAAATTCTTACTGGGTAATGAGTTAATAAGTTGTACATTTATCAGTCCTCATTCAACATCTGTTTTCTGTTTTTTCTTTTTCTAAAAATTAGATTAAATATTAAATGTCCTGCTGGGTGTTTTTTCCGGGGTCCCTGTATGCAGGAACTTCTCTTACCTGGTTTTGCATATTCTTTTTTTTGTCCTCTGCTTTTTCTCCCCAAGTCCCCTGAGTACATAGTTGTATATTTTAGTTGTGGGTCCTTCTAGTTGTGGCATGTGGGATGCTGCCTCAACGTGGCCTGATGAGCTGTGCCATGTCCATGCCCAGGATCTGAACCAGCAAAATCCTGGGCCGCAGAAGCAGAGGGCGCAAACTTAACCACTCTGCCATGGGGCCGGCCCCTGGTTTTGCATATTCTTAATCATTAGTTATCTATGAGGTTGCAGAAGAGTTGATTCATAACAACTTATAATAATTTTTAGATAGTTAAAGGGTGGATTTTGAACACTAAGAATGAAAGTGATGGTCTCTATTCCCCTGGAGAGGTTCATCAGGAAAAAATAATGTCAGATGAACTGAACTTAATTTTTGACAAGTTTACCAATAAAATCAAATACAATAGTCCCCCCTTATTTGTGAGGGATATGTTGTAAGACCCCCAGGGGGTGCCTGAAACCGTGGACAGTACTGAACCCTATAGTCACTAGGTTTTTTCCTGTACATTCATACCTATGATAAAGTTTAGTTTATAAATTAGTCATAGTATGAGATTAACGACTGATAAGAAAATAGAATAATTATAACAATAAACTGTAACAAAATTTACTGTAGATCCTAGCAACCTCAGCATGCGATTTTTTTCTTTCCTTATTCAGTTGAGAACTTTCACCTTTTCACTTAAAGGAAGCACTTCATGGCTTCTCTTTGGCATGTCCAAATTTCCAGCATCACTACCCTTGCACTTTGGGGCCATTATTAAGTAAAATAAGCATTACTTGAACACAAGCACTGCCATACTGGACAGTCGATCTGATAACCCAGAGGGCTACTAAGTGACCAAGGAGTGGAGAGCATGTACAGTGTGGATCCGCTGGGCAAAGGGATGACTCACTTCCACGACGGGGAGAGATTTCATTACAGCAGCTCAGAATGGCTTGCAATTTAAAACTTATAAACTGTTTATTTCTGGAATTTTCCATTTAATATTTTCAGACGTGGTTGACTGGTTGACTCCGGGTAACTGAAACTGTGAAAAGTAAAGCTGCCAATATGGGGGGGTGCTACTGTATGTTGAATTAAATATCTGAATTTCAGTAACACTTGGAAAAGTCTCCGGCATTAACATGTGTGCATTAAAGGAAAATTCTGTGTGAATAATCATTCAGTTGAACTGAAAATATATTATCAACTCTATACAAAGAATTTTGCCTAGAAGGAGGTCTCCAGAAATGAGCCATCGTGCTCATTTTATTACTTTTTATCTTGTATGATATTTTGCTCATCACTAAATGATGGTACACATTCATACTCACAACACTTAAGAGCAAAATCTAGATGAGAGCAAAACAGTATACTGAATGAAGAAATCAACACCTGACACATCATTGACAACTGGTATTGGAGACTAAATTTCCCAAGAAGTTATTGAGGAGGTGAATTTAGAGATCGCCTAGATAAATAGCTAGGGTTTTTGGTGAAAAATAAGCTTCCAAAACCTATAAATGAACGAATGAGCTGCTTAAGTGAGTAACGTAAACCTAGAGTGTTTTCCTTAGAGAGTAGGGTCTAGATTGAATTGAGGAGGTAAGACTCTCAGTGGGTTTTTTTGGGGGGTGGGGGTCCTTTGTGAACCAAAGGTGAAATACAAGGGATATTAGATTTAGTTCTAAGCATCACTTTTTTTCATAAGAAGAAAGATGCATTCAAATAGAAACAAGGAGAAAATAGAACCACAACCAGAAGACAGTTGGCATGGAAAAGAAAAAAAAAGACTCTCAAAAGTCAGCAAAGGGAGTTTACTAAGAGTTGAGACTATTTACAGAGAAAGAAAATCAGACTACATTTTAGCAGACCTATGAAATAAGGTGAATACCAGCGAGAGGCTCTTAAAAGGATACATACTTTGACTTAGAACTGTTCTACCAATCCTCTCTGAATATGGAGTGGCAGACCCCAACAGACTATGATTTTCCCTTCACTGGAGGTAATTAGTCAATACCGAATAACCATTTAGCAGGGCTGAGATGGGCGACTGTCCACAAGGTGGCCATTAAGGTGCCACTCAGTCTCGAATCTACAGAGTGCTATGAAACATTTGCCTGCTGTTTATCGCATCACTTCAATTGTTCTAAGCATACTTATTTATAAATTCCATTTCATGCTTCTATTATTTGTAGTCTAATCTTGCTTTTTGTTGACTGCCAAGAGAGCAAGTGGCTACATGTCATAAATGCAAACTGCTATAATTCTAGGACTAATTGTTTATCTAAATAAAACTTTCAAGGTTATTGAAGTAGTTTGACCCTGAGGTTAAAAAAAAAATCCTCATGATCTTGTAAATAGTATGAATTTGTTTAATAAGATCTATTTTCAGTGTTGGAAAAATTAAGTTTCAATCTAACAATCATTTAAATATTCCAAACAGATTGTTTTGATGTAAAATTCTATCATCAATTTTATATTTAATTGCCGACTATTCAAAGGCTTTCCAATGATGTTTTAAATACTTTATTTTGTCCACATTGATATATCTGCATTACATATGTGACTACATGTGATAATTTTTATGGAATCTTAGATTAGAAAATAATTGAGAGATGATCTATTCTAATGTCTTATGTGACAGATAAAGAAATTTAGAGACAGAAAAACAATAGAGATGATAAATGGAAGTTGATATAGGTAAATAATCAAATACAACAGGACACTACAAATTTTGACTTTGATTCATGAAATTAAAGAAAAATAGAGAAAGTTTATTTTAGTTGAATAATTGCACCACCTTAGAAGTAAAAGTGGAAAAAATGTTTTATATGGTGCATAAATAATACTGATTAGTTATAAATAATTACTGATAAAAATAATTTTGAGTAGTTATAGTTAAATATAGATATGCTCGCTTATGTCTCAGAGCATACTCTGTATTAAACTTCTTTTGGATAAACTTTACTTTCTGATTTCATTTGAGAAATGTATCTTAAAAGTAAAAAAAAAAACCCAAAATTTCTCCTCTGATTTCAGAGGAAATCATATTTAATGTTTATACATTCATTTTCTAAGATGCACGCAGTCATATCAAGGAAATATCCTTATAACAATCTTAGCCTCTGACAATCAAACATGACATCTGCTGGTTGAACAGGGAAAGAATTCATAATATTTTTTTCTTTTTCATCCTCTAGGCCATTTTTTCCTCCTTCCACCAAGCAGACCAAGAAAATTTTCTTTCTCTTTCATATTCTAGCTTTATTTCTATGCCAAAATTGTTCCAGTTTGAATCTCATTAGACTAACTCACCTAGAACTATGTTTATCTAAACTGACAGATAAGTTTTAGATACATTATGTATGATTATATACAGATCTTTGATTTTGAAATATTTTTAAGTTATATATAGAGAAGAAATTTAATGGTTCAAAATTTTAAGCAGAATCTATATAAAAGTACATTTACTCTATTTTGCAAATAACTTTTGAAAAGTGATTAAATTGAGGTTTCAAAACAAGATTTTACGCATAAAGCTCAAAGTAAAAGAGACAATAAGAAGCTATGACATGTCTCTTTCCTAATCTAAAAATGTTAGATTAAAGTATAATAAAAATCCTTTTTAGATGCATACCTAAGCTTGCAAGCAAGAAAGGGAATTATTCTTCATGG